TAAAAAAAAAAAAAAAAATCTTTTCACTTTAAAAAATGTATGCTTTGCAAAATTGTCATGGGATAGAACATTAGCAGACTTGTTATAAGAAGCTTTTTTATTTCTTCATCACCACTTCCCTATTCATCCCTTCTTTTTTCCTTCTTTTCTCTTCTTTTGTCTCCTATTGTCTTTCCTTGTCATCAAGATGTGATTTTTCCTGTTTGATTTCTTTCCCTTCATTTTTTTTTGAATGTCATCAAGATGTGATTTGTCCTGTTTGATTTCTTTCCCTTCATTTTTTTTTTTGAAAACAGGGTCTCGCTCTGTGACCAGACTGGAGTGCAGTGGCGGGATCATAGCTCACTGCAGCCTTGGCCTCAGGCGATCCCCTTACCTCAGCCTCCCAAGTAGCTGGGACCACAGGCACGTGCCACCACACCCAGCTAATTTTTTGTAGAGACAGGGTTTCGCCATGTTGTCCAGGTTGATCTCAAAACTCCTGAGCTCAAACAATCCACGCGCCTCAGCCTCCTAGAGTGCCAGGATTACAGATGTCAGCCACTGTAACTGGCCTAATTTTTTTCCCCTGTCACTCACTCTTATTGGCACCTCAGAATATACAGTTTGAAATGACAAGAGCATCATAGGAACTATTCGCTCAGTGAAACTAAATAGAGGTGCGGTGTGGGATTAATTGGACTGTATGGAGTAGCAACCCAGGAAGTCCTAGAACCTTGAATTCCTTACTGTCTCTGTAATCCTGTGATTTCAGAATGGTCCCTCCATCTGGAGGTCCAAAGGCTCTTCTCTGACTTTGTGCTCTGTGGTAGAGGTGAAAGGGAGAACCCTTTCACCAAAAGCTACTACCGCTCTGCAGGCACCTGGAAAAGTTTTCACAGCTTAGGAGAGTGACCTTCCTAGATGCTATTCATCATCCCTCAGTGCATCCTAAATGTATAGAAGATTGAGTTTGAGGGAAACATGCATGCCAGAGTTGAGAGATCCAGGGCTGACTTTGACTGCCTGGCTACAACAGCTTTAAATACACCCTGAGAAATCTAACGCAGGAGAGTCAGTGACTCCAATGAGTCCTACACGATGCTGTCCTGAAAGTGAAAAATCAATGCTTGCTGGCCATGGTGGGATCCCATTGCTCTTGGAGGCTGCAGCCCAGCAGCCCAGCTTCTCCATCAGGCTGGGAAAAAGGGCCTGGAGATGGAATGTGAGCAGTTCTGGCCATCTCTCGTGTTTACCAGGAGACACTTCAGATTATTCATTGCTGTTTCCCACAGTAAAAGTTTCTCCTGCCCTTTTTTGGTTTTTAGTGATAATACAGTTATTTTGGCTTTCTAAAAAGTGGATCCTCCTTCCCTCTGAACATGTAATTTTATGATTTTTCACACCTATTTCCAGGAATGTCTATTTTAGCAGACTACCTGTGCAAATATAGAGTAGTGTCATTAACCAAAGCAGCTTTTCTTTGAGTTTCTTGGTTAACCCTAGATGAACAATGAGTATTTTTAGAGCAAGCTCAAATAAGTTGATAGTCTATGAACTAATCATAGAGAGTGGCTGATTATATCTCATCAGCTGGATATATATTTTGTCCCAACTGCCTGCTGCTATGGTTCTTAAGAAATCTGATATAACCAGACATGCTCCTTTTCCTGGCTAGGGCTTCTATTTCAATTACTTTCTGTACCCTGGAGAGTCTGGACTGCTTTTACCCTTGTCGCATTAAACTTGAACCAGAACCAACCCCAAAGAAACATCTCTTCTTGCTTCCTTTCTTCTGGGTCTTTCCTTTTTTTCTGTTGCCCAGACTACGTGCAGTGGCATGATCTCAGCTCACTGCAAACCTCTGCCTGCTGGGCTGAAGCCATCCTCCCACCTCAGCCTCTCTAGTAGGTGAGACTACAGGGGTGTGCCACCATGCCTGGCTAATTTTTTGTGTTTTCTGTAGAGATGGGGCTTCATTATGTCACCTGGTCTTGAACTCCTGGTCTCATAGGATCAACCCACCTCAGCTTCCCACAGTGCTGGGGTTACAGGCATGAGCCACCACACCCAGTCCTGGGTCTTCCCTTTTTCTTAGCACCTACTAAATGCCAAGTGCCTGGGGATAAAAATGAAGAGGCCATATGCAGCCTCTGCCCTCATGGAAGTTTTGCTCTAGGTGCAGGCCCTAGGCCGCTTGGAGGAAAGTGCTACAATGTGAGAAGTAAAGGTTGGTAAGTCAAGGAAAGGCTTCCCTAAGTCAGTGAAGGACATGGAGCAAAAGCAAGGGATTTTGAGGGACTGAGAGAAATACAGAGTGCTAGAGAGAATGTTGAGCATTGAGGCTGGAAAAATAGGCAAAACTTGGTCATGAAGGGTGTTACACACATGTTGCAGCATTAGTCTAGGGGCAGGGGGAAACTATCAGAAGATACTAAGTGGAGATCTGACTGTTGATGTTCATGTGTTTCTGGATAGGTTAGTCTGGCTGTAGTGAAGAGACTACATGGTGCTGGGAACAAGAATAAAGGTATTAATCGTGGCTGGCGATGAGAGTGGCTGGCTAGAGAAGTAGCAGCAGGGATGAAGGGCTAGAGTGGATAGATGCAAGAGGTAGCTAAGGAGGTAGAATCTACATGTTTGTGGGACTGATATGCTGTGGGGAGTGCAAGGGAGCTCAGATCATGCCCAGGTTTCTTTCTATAGGGGCACCTGAGTTGATGATGATGCATTTACTAAACTAGGAGCAGCTGGGGCAGATAATGTAGTTTT